CATTTGTCAAGGTTCCGTCAGGTTGGTGGTAGCCACTATTATCACATGACCCGTGCGGTCCCGTGCTCGCAATCCCATAGAAAACCTCTCTGGTATGGAAAAAGCCTTCCGGCATTGAACTCTTAAAGCTTTCTTGCAAAAACACCAAAGGAAAAAAAGAAGAGTGTTACAAAAAGTCGTCTTTTTCGACAAATTGTGAGTTTCTTGTTTTGACTCGAAAAAACAAAGGAAAAGTTGCGTAGCGTTAGGTATAAGCAAAATTTTCAACATTTCGAGGTCATTTTAATTGGGAATACTGTCCTATCTGAGAGTTTGCAAGTTGATATCTAAGAGATAAAATTAGCAAAATTGACAATCATGTGCGCTATTGACCAAGAATGAAGTCAAGATGGTTGATATTAGCCTTCTTCCTTTCTTTGCTTTTTTATGGACTGAGGCAAAGCCGAGATCTATAAAAACCGCTGCCAGCTATATAATAACCACAAAAAGCGAATCGAAATGGGCAGGAATGCAATTTTATGGGGACAACTTTAAATAATTGAATTTGATAAAGCATCGACGAGTGAAAAAAGATGAGAAAAGAAATATTACTTGACGAATTGGCTCGAGCTCGTCCCAGCAACAAATGGAAATCAACGTTAAATAGAGACATATACCATATCAATGGCGATAGCCGTTATGGTAACGCGCTGTCGTTGAAAGAGAAATCTTCCCTGCAATCATTATTTTCGCTCACTGTCAAGCCAGCGATTTTGTCGGTGTATTGTTAATCTATGCGTATATTAAAGAAACAGCTAAGATCACCTAAAATTGAGTATGTAAAGTGAAAAAGGTTAAAGGTTTGTACTTGACCCAAAGGGCTCATTGTCCCTGAGCTTATTCTTGTTTCCTTGAAATAAAGCCAATGGGAATATTACCACTGGCCCCCTTGGATAATGCTAGTCTATCGTAAGTTACCTCCCAGCATTTCAGTAGGCCTCCCAGACAATATGCTGGTACTCATTTATACTCCTGGATGGAAAGAGGCATTGTGAAAGTTGAGTGTTTTTCCCAAGAACACTCTCGAGCTACTGTGGAAACTCGCCCCTTTAGTTAAATATGGGCAGTTTTGTTTTGTATCGTTACTAATAACATGCACTCTAGTGTAGCTATTTGTCGATTTGTCGGGCATTTGCATAACCGACTCTGATTATAACGTAAACGAAATATATTTCCTTCAAT